TATACGATAGCATAGAAAGCCAAGTAATCAAAAAATACTTGGACTTATTTAGCAGTATTTACTAAACAAATATCTGATTTTCAGAACGATCGTCGGCAAGCCAATCGCATACGACTCAAACCTAACTCCAGAAAAATTGGCTGAAAAGGTAAAATTTCTTTTATAACCAGCACACTTGTAAATATTGTAATTAGGCTATTGGAAACTAGGTTAAATGGCGAATTAGCAAAGCATATCAAAGGAAAGTACCAAATATTAAAGCAAAAAAAAATTACCCAACTCATCAATTAATTCTTTACATTTAGTACAACTAGTAAAGAATCTTTTTTTTTATTTAATATTTGGTCTGTATTTTCATTTTATGGTCTTTTGAAAAACACGATGGATTGTGTGAGTTTTATTTACGCTACTAAACTCAAGGTAACAATAAATTAAGCTTCGCGTCAGAAACGCTTTTTCTTTTTTACCTAGTATCTGCTTCAAAACTAACCTAAGCCGAAGGTTTGATTTGAAACCAATAAAATGTCATTAAATTATGTCGTCTTATCTGAATCGTTGTATATATTTAGGGAAACTAATCATACTATAGAGATGCGAAAACCGTATTTCTCGTTTATGATTGTGATATGTTCTACTTTAATTGGTGAAACCCCTTCGATCAGACTATCGACTAAAATACATACAACTTGGGAATGTGTAAATGAATATTTGAATCTCTATGGAACACATTTTGTGCTTGTTGGTAACGTTCGTTGCGATTGAACATACGGCTGTGCGATGGATATAGAGTAGCTCATTATCTTAATCTATAGATATTTAACATTTCCAGATAATAGTATAGGTTAGCAATCAACGATTTTCTCATGCAGCTTCTTCTATGCTTATATTTATTTCATCATATTGAATATAGACAAAACTATCGATTGAAGACTTGATAATGCAGCATCAGCGTATCCCAGGATCGATCTTGAAGGGAATCATTGATCGGTTCGATTGGCTTCCAACACTACTTGGCCAGAAAACCAAACGACGAATTTCAGATGGCAACAATGAAGAAATAAGTGAGTGTCGATAACAAGCATATTCGAAAATTCGAACTTATTTCGTTGTCTGAATAATACCTGTTGCCATAATATAAAGCGTTACTAATGAGAACAACGTAAAAATGTTTGGTGTTACCAGGGAAACTGCAGTTACACTTCGTCAGAGACAAACGAAAAGTAGGTTTGTGTTTAAGTTGTTTGATTGTTTTTCAGTCTCTCTTATAAATGTACTTAGTAATTCTAACTTCTAGATCCTTGTTATTGTTTTTCTTGTTTTGACATGATTGGTTGTAGTCTTGATTTGAACTTGTGCCGAGGATTGTTGTTGCTTGTGTGCTTGACAGTTTATTTCAATCCGAATGAGGACAAAATGAAATTTCAATTTTTACTTTATTCCAGAGGTAGGGCAGATTTATTAGCGTGTATTTATGATGTATCATAAGACATACATCGGACAAATTTTTATTTTCAACCTCATCATGCGCTTCTTATGCAATGTAGCCTGTACATTATATTTGTGATAATAAAGTACTGATTTTTCTGTAGTTTGCACTCTTACTGGTGTTACACTTAGTTAGCTAATTGTGCGAAGCGCAACTCTATTGTTACCGTGTAAAACTAACCGAAACTGTATCTTCGTGCTATCTACTTGCTAGTTTGAGACTTTAAAAATGGTTTTAACAGAAAAGTTGGTTTTAAGAAATCTTATTGGATACTTTTATATTGATTAAAAGCTAAGAAATGTCGGCGTCTAAAAATGTATATATTAAATGTGTTTTTGCCCTTTAATTATTTTTGCGATAATATATTTTTTACAGTACCTTCGGTAAAGATTTACTGTGCGTGGCGCGATAAGTAATCGTAAATGTGTTGTTTCGGTTTGAGATGTCCGCAAGAATTGTGTCTAGAATAAAGACAAATTATTTTTACGTTCTAGATACAAGGCTTGTTTATTAATACGTGTTGGTATTTCGGCTACTGTAGTATTTATATCATGTTTAATTAATTCTCTATAAAATGAATGGCTAAAATGTTAGAGTTCTTTTCATTTTGAAGTAGCAGGCAGTAAAATTGATTTGATAGAAAAAAACAAAACATTAACTGACGCAAAATTGTGTCAATTAAATGTTCATTCAATATTTAGCCTTCCTGGAGATAAATTAGACTTAATATATATCAAAACAGTGAAGTAAATGTAAAGAGAGCTTAATTAATAAGTGCAACAACATGACAGAAGCAGAGTTACGGTTATTGCAACAGTTGATATTTCCTTATGCTTATATGTTACTTGATCAATTGTGCTAACACGCAATCTGACAGTATTACATCGATCATCTCATAGAGAAATCCTTATATAAGCGGAATTCTTCTCTTTTTTCTCGTTTTGAGGCTAGAAAATAGCCTTGGTATATTCAACTCCCTGTTTGGAAAATCTACTTACGCGGGTGTTTTTATATAATAGAAACCAGATTTTACTTATCTACTCAGCAAAGTTTTTTAAGTCAATTAACTGAAATTATTATTTATCGTAATTTTTTAGGAAACGGGTTCGAGATTCAGGGTATTGAAGTACACCCGCTATTGACGTAGTGTGCAAAACCCTTTCACCCCACGAAGGCCTTTTCTAGTGCAGCCAGAAAGAGCGTATGTGACTGTATAATTTTCAAGTCAATGGCGTCTTTAAACGTCTCCTTTGTATCTAATGTAAGTCATACTGTACAATATGTGCAGTCCAAAATTAAACAGCTTTTCTGTCGTATTTATGATAAGCTGGAGGTACGTAAGTCAATAGATTTGGAAGATAACATCAGGACGCATAACATCTGTCCGTCGAAGGTAACGAGGGTATAAAAATCAATAGATGTTATAACATTTTTCAAGAAGTACGATGTTTTTGTTGCATAGCAATGGATGGATAGATGGAACTTGTCTACTAGCTGGCTGCTTGTGCGAGTCAAGCCTGTGACTAGGGGGATAAAGGCGTAAATAGATTATATTACGTAATTTGCAAATTGTATGTCACGAGAAAGTTATGCAAACATGTTGTTGAACATTATATGCTTTATACATGTTTGAATTACCACTGGTTTATTTTTTTTATTACCTACGGCGTGCGCCCGTAATGTATAGAGGTGAGGATAATTTAGAAAATGGAGAATTTTCTTCCCAGAAAACATTAGAAAAGGGATTTTATGCGTCGTAACTGCTGTCCGCCTGTATCAACCACCGACCGGTACATGGAAGAACTGCAGTAATCAAAATATACATTTCTGTGTCGGTAATTGACAATATGTGATGCATTAAGGATGCTAAGCGGAATCCTCGCAACTTATTGCTAGTCTGTCTATATGTAATGCAATTCACGAAACCTTAATCATATGAAAGGTGTCCAATTAAGATTATTATTGTTATTAACTATTTTGTCTAAAAAGTGTCGATAATCTCAGTTTGTTGGCGTTATTTTTGTATCTGTAATATATTTAGAGGTGACTGGGGTAAAGAGTAAAAAGAAAATAAAACTAAGAACATATTTTCGGAGGAGCTTCACTTTTATTAATTAGGTACGAAATACACAGAACGTAGCTTCGTTGTGGTGACAGCCATACATTTTTTAACATTTTTCAGTGGTGCTGAGCTCTAAAACAATAGTATAAGGGAATAGTATTTGTGTTGAACGAGCCTAGCTTATTCACATGTGCGTAATAGGAGATAAACTTAATATCCATGGTTTAAATGTTTAATTATTTAAAGGTGCTAACATATCTTTCGTACTTTTATCATTGTTTCTATTTAATAAGCTTATATACATTGGCATCATCATCAGCTGCTTTCTTAAATATAATTAAAATAATAGTAATACTTTTTCCTATATGGCTTCAAACAACGGTAAATAATACGTATTCGCTCAGCCAATTATTATTATGCAATTATATTATGGCCCTGCCCAGTGACAGATTAACAACAAAATTTTTTCAACTGGACTTTCCCATTACCCCTACACTGAACGGGAACATGAGCTTTGGAGAACGGATCATATTTTGTGTTCCATATTTTTGCTATCTTCTATTTTTTTGTACCACTAAGCCGCTGATACGTATCTCACACATACATTGGTAAGCCTAACATTTGACTTGCAATTTTTTTTTTGTTTTTGAAGTTCTCTGTAGATTTCCTTGCCAAACGCATGACAATTCGGAAAATCGTGAAGCTAACATATGTATCATATTCAAGCAGGTGTAAATCACATGAATCACTCCATTACCCCAAAAAATAGGATTTTCAGATAAGCTAGGGTTGGATAGAAAAAATTGACAAGTTGTTTAACAGCCTCTTGTGAGTCGATCAATGAGCTGCAGCTGTTTACCAAGCTCAGGGCCGCTTCAAGTTCATTGTGTAAATCAGAGTACACTTTGTTGCCCTGCATTGCCCTTACCTGCAATTTTTAAAACAGAGTTAGTCGCCAAAATAGTAAGCAAGTATCTACAAGTTGTCTGTATTCAACAAAACATTAACATTTCGTGCATTGATCTCTCAGGGTACGGTTAATTTATGCATTAATTCATAAGAAAAGAACGTTAGTATCAGTGCCTTAAATTTCATAGCTTGAATTAAGATAAGAGAGAAGATATAATAATAATATAGAACAAATCGTTTTACCTTAGCCAGTGCTTCGCTGGCAAAACGATGCGGTTTGTGCTCGCCCGCTGCATTTTGTCTTGCTTGGAGCATGACAAGTCCGTCTTCGGTAAGGTGTTGTGCAACGATAGCTGCAATCAACCGGCTGTTGAAACGAAACTTTATTGATAAAGGCGAACGTCGCCCGAAGCCTATTGCACCTAACAAGCCGCTCGAAACTTTGTCCTCCCCTGCTTGCAGAAGACTCCCCACGAACCTTTGTAGATGCCTGAATACGATGCGCACATCACCCCCGTATTCTAACTGACGAATACTCAGGACAAGTAGCTTGTCCCATAACAATAGGATTTTGGGCTCGGCTTCTTCATTGACTGGAATGGACTCTACTACCCAATCGACGATTCGACCCAGGAGTGTCAGTTCATTCTCTAAAGAACCACAGTAGCGCAGCTTGTGGAGCACGTATGCGTATAAGGTTAGAAATGAACTACTTTCCACGGCTGCTTTTAATAATTCATCAATTTTTGGACCGGGAAATCTCAGGGCTGTTAACATCGTGCTCCAGCCACCATCAGAGGAAAAAATTTCAAGTTCAGACTTTGAGTAGGCAGCAATGCAAGCTTCTACTATGTGTGGTACAGCCTGCTGATTGGACAGGGAAGCGGCTACCGATATACACGATAAGATCAAGTCAGATCCAGGATTTGCACTGATCCACAAAACAAGTCCATCCGTCAACACATTAGTCCATTCAAAACTATCGACAATGTCTAACACCGAAAACACATCTTTTATGAGTGTGAGGCTTTGATCATTGAAATCAGGCTGTTTAGAGTTAATCAGGCTAGTCACGTAAGTCATATGCTTCGGCATAAACTGAGACACACACTGGCGATTTTTGACTAGATTCCTGGTTCCGGGAGTTTCGGCGCACCTGCGCACCAGTCTGGCGGTCATAGCAAAATAAGCTGCTTGTTTTTCGAGTGTTGAGCAAGAGGCATTAACTGTCCTAAGACAGGCGATATTTTGCATGAAACTCAACAAAACGTCATCCTGAGAGTTGTCATCTGGTAGTAAAACACATAATGGATCACATTTCGTTTCAAAAAAAAGCATAAGATCCTTTAATAATTTCCCAGGCACGCAGCTCCAGTCAAGCTCGGCCAAGCTGTGGCAAAGGTCACGCGTGCGTCCGGAAGCTGTCACAGTCTTATCCCAACCGGTTTTCAAAAGAAGCTCAACAAAACGTGAGTATGCTTCTGTGCGGGCGGTATGATCCCATTTAATAGCTAAATCACTAAGCAGATACGTCCAATCAAGTCGTAAAAGTATCTGAATTAAAAAAGGCAAATGATTAACGTATTCGGGTTCTAGAACTTTGGTCATTAAACGGAGGTCTTGCACATTCGGGACAAAAGCTTCCCATGGAAGGGATAGTATCTTTTCATAATAGAAGGTCGTTATGTAGTTTGGGGTAGCATTCCAAACATAGCTTATGAAATAGCGTTGCCACAGAGAATGAAAGACGGAGGATTGAATTCTAGAGAGAACCGTTTGCACTACTCCCAATAATTGGACATAGCTCTGTAACATAACCGCGATTTTTTGTTTCTCTCCCGGTAGCCAAGGCAGACAGTACTTTTTACCCTCTTGCACTACGCCTAACCAGGGTTCATAGAGATCAAAGATCGCCTGCAATGTGTGATCTATGTCAGAAGCACTTGGCATGTTTTGGCTCATGGACTGACCTTTTTGAACGATGTACAACGTTCCCATGAGCGTGTAAAGTGGGGCCAAAGAGCTGAGATAATAATCACACAAACAATATAATCCTTTTCTCGGCGCTGAAGCCTCTTTGTTGCGAAAATCTTTGAAGAAGTCGGACATCATTTTTATGCTTTCTTCTACGCGACTCGCACCAGGCGCTCCACAAATCACGGGTAGGTCCCCTTGCGTAATGCTCTCATAACCAAGCGCCTTGAAAAATGTTGTAAATGTTTCCAAAGGTATATTGTTGAGACGGACTCCGTTGAGCAGCATGTTGAAAATTTGGAAATAATGCTCGAAGTCATTGACTGCCAGCAGTGTCTGCATTTGATTTAGATAAAGAGCCTCAATCTTGGATAACAGTGGCTCTAACTTGCTCTTTCGACCTATACTCTGCAATGCCGCTTTCAGGGTTCCAATCAAGTTCTGTCGGTCTAGCGCGGTCGTCGGTGTCGTTCGCAGGTAGGAGCCAACATCGAACTTACTAAGGAGAATAAATTGCGTTTCATATAACGCAGGTCCCAAGTTGTAGCATAACACGTTGTACATTTCCGCGTAGCGAGATGGTTCACATACCGCAGGAGCGAAGTAAGGCGAAAGATATGAGACGAGATGCGGGTTTCGTAGAATTAGATCAAGAAGTGGCCGCGTTTGTGTAGGGTCAGGTCGTACGACAGCCTGACCAAGAACTTCTAGACACTGTGTCAAAAACTGGCGGGTAGGGGTGTGTTCCAGACAATCTTTATTCATGAATGACACCAATTCGGCAAACAACTTGCCACCTGTTTTACGAAGGTGCAACCCAGTAATCGGCTGTAGCTGAAGGAAATTAACCAGCTTTGTAATAACGGATTCGACGAAAGCGCATGCGTTGATAACGCCGGTTGAAGGAGGGCTCCGTAAGTCACAAATGATTGTTGTCCATTCGTTGCGATTTTCGACCACATTATTACTAACAACCTTGTTCTTTGTTGCCTCGTGGAACCTGAATACAAGTCGGGCATGCTGCTTACATTTGGGGCCAAGCGCACATGCCATATAAAACTCAATAGAGCGATCCTCATTGGTATAAAGCTTCTTCAGGTAATCGTCGATATTTTCGTCAAGGTTACTAAGGTGGATACTTTGAGCATTAAATGCCCTCGCATGCCCCATGATTGTCTTTAGTTCCGACCTTGCGTTTTGTAAAAGTTTTTCTCCACGCAGAAGCACCTGTTCAGTAACTTCGGGGATAGCAAGTTTTATAATGGGTAACGGAGGCGCTCCTTGAGTATCGTCGTAGCATCGTAACCTATGCAGGATTTTTTGTTCAACTGTTTGTTCAATCTGAGTTGATTGTAATTGTTGTTTCACTTTGAAAGCGTTCTTTTTTTCGGATAACTTATCTAGGCATTCTTCAATAAGTTCTTGGTGAACCAGATCTGTCCACAAGCCAGCCCTGTTGCAAAGCAAAATCTGCAGCAGCTCTGAATTATATTGAGGAGGTAGAGCTAGCAATGTCACGTTAGGGTCATGGATTCGAGGCTCTTCCAACCACAAGTATAAAGATCTGAAATATTTCTGAAGTTTGCCAAACAGCTGGCATAGTTCGTTCATCTGTGCGAGGGCACGACCTGTCTTTTTTGTATGATCTGACAGTGGTTGCTCCTGAAGGTTTTTAGCCAGATCACAGTAACGCCTGTGGTAATGCCCTGTAAGTTCATTCAAACGCCTTTTAAGCTGTTTGAGCACTGGATGATAGGTGGTTCCTTCAAACAGCCGTAAACCAACACAACATCCAGTTGGAGCTCTTTGAAGGTACAGCTGAAAAAATTGTTGCCAAATGAGAGGTAAAGCGGGATGATTCATTTCGGTTTCAAGAGCTTGCTGTGCCCATCGATAGACGAGTATAAATTCTTGGCTGGGTACATTTTTCATCGAACTTGATACTAGCTTTAACGCTGCCTCGGTCGTTAATTTAGTATTAGCAGCCATTTCCTTAATAAGTTGTTTCCATGGCCTGCAGTTCAACTCTACTCTGCCCTCAGCTACAAGGCCTGCCCAGGCAAACCAGGGAAATTGTTTAACAGAAGAAAGTGCTACAAGGATTGGCCATGACGATCCTGAGCCCCACCACACATAGCTCATCACCGATCGAACCATTGATTCATACGCAACATTGGACGAAACTACGCTGGATAATGAGTCTTGTAAAAATAAGAATACTTTCTCAATACAACCAACCTCCTGGTATGCCAGTTGTACCAAAATGTCCAAAAGGAAATATACACTTTCACGTGCTTTAGCCTTAGTACCTCGCTTAACGGACATTTCAGGCAAATTAAATAGAATTTGCAGCCACATAAGTACGCATTTTGTTTGTAAACTCCAGGCTTTTGCTTTACGTACTTGAAGTATGATAATCCGCCCAAGTTGACTCAGGATATCTCCAGGAAAGCTGCTGACCACGAGGTTCTTAACTATTGCTGAATAAGTATTGTCGGCCTGAATAATGGTTTCCATGGCCTGTAAGAACTTCACATGGGTTACTAACAGTTCGGACTTGCAAATAAATACAGCTGTAATTCGGTGAATGGACTCTATGGCTGCTCTGAACTGATCTTTATTAACCAGGTCTACGATAAAGGATACACCTCTTGTTACAATTTCCTCTCTATAATGGCCCATGGAGCACATCATCAGCGCAATGTAAAGTGCAGGCGGGAGTCCTTCTGATACTCCGACCCGCAAAGGTTCCAACCAGCTGACACTGTCAAGTGAAAGCGCAACCCCTATTGGCGGTTCGTCATCGGTAATCAGCTTCCGCTGCGCGTGGTGTGGATAATCTAGTAGATGTAGGTGTAACTGTAGTAACAAGTCCCACAGGTACTGGATGAAGCTGTCAGGAGTAGCTGGCTGTTTTGTGCCAAGTGCATAGTCCGATATGTATTTGAACTGTTTGTACGCATATCCCGTTTTGTCAAACGGAAGGTAGTGCGCTTTGTATGCTGCCAAAATAATTAGAGCTATTTTTTGATGATTATGTTGCGGAAGAAACAGATTGCCAGTGTTTTCATCATATCCATAATTCATATTCTGGAGAACTAATCGCGCTAATGAATTTTGAGAACTCACAAGATCGTTCTCTACAAGAAATCCGTAGAGTATATCTAAGTCCTCGTCTTCTGGGATCCAACGGGTGAGTTCGAACCCGCTAAAAAGATAACATGCCATGTTACCCACCTTGCTCATGTTTTGATGAATCTGATCAAGCAACACCGATACAACAAAAGGGTGCTTCGTAACCAGTCGAGACAGCAAGTCCCTTCCAACTTTTGAATGTACCTCTCTTAATTTTTCGTGTATGTACGTTATGTTAAACACTTCGACAGCAACGGTATGAATAAAGGCCCGATTGGCTTCCTGTCGGGAGATGGCCATATTTGCAAACGTTGTTAGAAGATAAAAGACCTCTTCTTCGAGCATGTTCTCAATCTTCTCCTCAAGTCTGGCAGGTGACTGGAGCTGCTTAGCGATTTCGTGAACACGCATATCCACCAATTGCACTTCTTCGCGGTAATTGTTATGTAAAAGCCAGAGAAGTTGCCAGATGATACCGTGTGACACGTTCTGATATGGTAGGACGGCCATGAACTGCCATGCTCCCAATGATTCTGAAAAAAATATGGAGTTTACTGCTCGCAACAAAAACTGGTCGTACTCAACTTGAATGCGCGTTAGTTCGGTCGCGCTAGGATTTGCCGCACGGAACGCCTCCCAATGATCCGATATGTATTCAACGCAATGACGTATGAGTCGACTGATTCGCTTGGTCAGATTGCGGTAGCGCCTAGAGTGGTACGTGCGCAATCCAACGCGTAGCGTGTACACCAAGTGTGTTGAAAACGAAATCAGTTTAAGCATATGTTTTGCTGTAGTACGGTCAATGTCATAGACTTCATCAGCTAACAGTATATATTTGAATATCTCACGGAACGGGATCTGATTGAGGAGGTCTACTATATCTTGTTCAGCCCATTGGAAAAAAATGGGTTCCCCAGATGCTCCGTTCTCTCCATCACCGTCCACAATGCACCACGTATCTGCTGGACTTTCATCGACCACGGTCTTGAATTTACGAAGGAACACCTCGCGCTGTTTCACAGGGCTACAAATGAGATTTAAAGCAAGCATTGGGTAATCGAAGACTTGTCCTGGTTGGAAATTGTTGTTAATCCACTCTTCCTGTTGGGTCCAAGCATCACTGGGGGGCATCTGAATCAAATCTACTGCCCACTTAGAGATTCCTGCCGGACACCTATTAATTTGCACAAAAGGGCCAGATCCCTTAGTTACTGCTGATCGAACACGTTTTCGGAATGTCTATATACATCAAATTATCACTATAATAGCTCTAGTTACTTCCAAATGTAATCTTTAAGTTGAAGCTAATTCTAAGATTACCTTAGGATGTGGGAAAGTATAAAGAAGTGGTCCTCCAGTGCGGCTACACGAAGTAGAACGGCAATAGACGAACGAAGCCATTGCCGCACTTCCTTAATGTATTCCGCGTCTTCAAAAGGCCGACGGGTGAAGCAAAACAGTATCGAGATCGTTACACGTAGGGACTCTTTAGTTGACTCCTGTTCACGACTCCAACGATGTTCACCTGGGTACATGAAGATCTCATGGGTACATGAACACTTCCCTGATAAGTTATGACTGAGATCTAGAAGAAATAGTAATCAACCCATAAAATTAGGTTCATCTTCCTTGTTACGGATTATATATCCAGTTTCGCTGAAAAACAATGTAGCCGTAAAATCTTTCACGACATTATTTGATAGTATTACATTACTGAAGTGAAGCCTCGATAAGTGAGTCATGTCATCAAATGTTATTTAAAAAAATGACTCTCGCTGTTATATGCCACGCTGAAAATAATGTGTGCTTACAGTGATTTGATCAACAGCCCAATTAAAGCGTGGTAGCTAGACATCAATTTAATTGAACCTACCGATCCTAGGAATCGGAGCAGTTTTGGGGATTGTCTGAAATGGAAAAAGCCCTTTATTGAGAACCTGCTCTATCTGTATCTTCAAAACTTGAGCCGAATGATTGCGACTAGCAAACTCTGCGCGCAGCAAACCTCCTAATTGTCGAAGTGTATCCCTGAATCGGGCAGCCTGGTGACGTTCATAATTAGCTATTTCATACTCGTGGCTCTTCTCGACCCGAGAATTGTCACCACATCTGCAACAATTTCGTAAACAGGGATGAGTACAGTTTGATTCTAGTTATCTTCCATCGAACTTGGATAAAGCCAAAGAAGGTTTTTATCTATATAGTAATTGTAATAATAATTAAGCTGATGTGCTTTCGAATTAACAGCATACTAATTCAATGCCTGGTATTTTACACTTGTTATCTTTACATGAATAGAACGACACAAAAAAACTCATAAGTTTGTTAACAGGCTGAGAGCTGATTTTTGTTTTGTATAATACATATATACATTTTTACTTCATGTCACTGGGCCTACACCAATGGGCATTGGCCTATTTAGCCCAAGCTACCTTGCAGCTTGTTCGAAACCCTTGAATTTGGTCAACTGAATAAACATTTGAAGCTAACATATTCACGTACCAATTTCATCAAAACCCACATATACTTAGTATTAGTTCTGACAATCAACTAGGTGTCACTTCAGTTAATGAATGATGGGGAGATTTTGCTATTGCAAAATTAGATACCCCGTCATAGGCGCGTAGAAGGATAGCAGATTTGAGTTAACTTGTGGTGCATATCTATGAGTAATCCGTTGCGTTATTAAAGGTATCGTTTGAACCTCAATGAGTTTGTTACCTGTCATAAGCGGAAACTTGTCCACGTCCCATGCTCCAAACATGATCACGAAGCTCCTGAGCTTTTACAATCAGCTCATCTAGTTGGTGAGAGCAAGCGGACAAAGCACTCTTTTCAGCATAATACTCCGACAGAAGTTTGAATAGCTCGTGTTCCTGTAATCTTTAACGACAAAATCGTATTATGCAAAAAATAGTAGTAGGAGCTAATTAGAGAAGTAAATCTGTCGGTACTGGCGTTTTAGATAGCTTTATGCATGCATACACAAGCAAGACAAATATGACGAAGGGCGACATATTAAAACTGGATTTCACACTTTATGCCTTATAAAACAGTCTTCACTTCATAACATTGCTCACAAATCTGATGCTGAACGATAACAGTTTCAAAATTTGAAATTGTATACCTTTCTTCAGAGTACATCTCAATGAAAGTATCCTCTAGGCGCTCTCGTTGTTGCAGGAGAACTCCTTGATTTAAACGTAGCATCTCAGCCTCGCTCATGGGAAGCACCGAAAGCTTTTTCAGGTCCAGCTCTGGATAAACCCTATCAAATATGAACCAAATACATATTCGCTCACATACGGTCCTACAAGCAATATGTACGAAAGTAGTAATTACGATCTTTTCGACCCAGCCCACGTAGAATGCAAAACAGCTATACGGAGTGCAACCAAAGATGTACTGATATTAACGTTCAAAATGAGAGATAATTGCCGGATATGTCTAGGCCACAGCGGCTAAGGTTCATTGATTAAATCCGTAATCTTAAAAGTATAAAAAACCGATACCTCTTTTGTCGTCAGTTGTATAAAATACACATGACGTAATATGGCAAACTATATTTTCCGTCATGGGAAAGAGGTGCCTACGTGCCTTTTGCCGTCAATGGTCACAGAACGCTTTCTTTAAAACTGGTGGCATCTTGTCCTGGCATAATTTATAGGGGCGTATAGCAACAAAGCACATTTAAATGTAACGAAAGCAGAAAACATAAGCGTTTACTGCAAATCGAAAGCTGTATCGTGCTCCCTATTTTGTATAATTACACCATATCCTACCGGGTAAGTGTTTTTCGCTGACTGAGAATGATCTCTCTTTGGTTAGGCATCTTTATCACAGAAGGTGGTCCGCTCGAGTCCGTTGATAAGTTTGGAGCAGATGGCTGCGTAACATTGTACTGACGATCGGTACCATCCTCTTCACAAGGAGGGGCTGTAAAGCTTACTAAAATTAGTATAGATGTATTACACAAGGATCAGATAAAACTAATGCTTCATATTCTTTATATCTTTATGCTACTCTTGTAATAATAAGCGTAAGAGCGCATTATCGAAATAGACTCATAGTTTTAGCTTAGTTCAAAACCACATCGAGGATTTTACATCTTTACCTGTGCACTGTATTCCGCGAGGTATAGAGTCTAGTGTGGGATATAGTCTGCCGTCTTTAATGCTAGTAAGCGTCTGTCCATGTTGCTCGACCTCAAATGGGACAGGTTCCTCCACGTGGTTTGCTGCATCGTCTGCGGAAACAGCCATTTTTTCAACCTTAACTGACTCATTTTCCATTTCCGCAGCCTTGTAGGAAACCTGCGAATCACCGGACGCTTTCTCTGTCTGTAAAAGGTGATTAGGTTCTTTGAGAGTACACTGTTTTGCACACTCGCTCACGTTTTCGAATTGTGGTGCGTAGGTGTCGTTATTGCGTGGATCTGTTTCCCCTTTACATCTTTTTTCTGACGCGGTGTCTTCATCTTTTGAGACATAGCCCAAACGATCATCCACTGGAAATTCGCCTATAATATTCCACGGGAATATAGAGGTTACGTCCTTTTTACCAATATAATGGTGATAGCACTATTGATGTCTTAAACAGCATTCCCCGAAATATGGACTATCTTTCACGATATGTTCTAAATCCCGTAACATTATAGCATTCATGTATACATACACGAACAGACAGGAGTTATATAAAAAGTTAAAAGAAGCCCTACTACTATGAACTAGAGGTTCTACTACTATGAAGTCAACAGTATCCCATTCATTTTTGAAATATGAATTGCATTAGCAAGCCATGTAAGAGTCTGTTATTCCAATAATTTGTTGTTACGAAACCCCTCAACACAACAGCTGCACAAGTATCCAAGTATCATCGTTTCGCTGACCCGAAGGAATAAAGATGTGTGATATTCTGCCAAAAAAAGAACGCAGTCACCCCAAGACTAATGCCGTTTGGGCTCTTTATTGAATAAGGAAAACGGGGGAAATTCATCTGAAAACCTGCGGCACCGATGGACAACACAAACCTATATTCATAACACAGAAAAGATTTGATTGCAGAAGTCACAGTTACGGAAATACAGAGTGCTAGCTGTCGTTGTAGATGCTGTCATGTCATTCGAAATGCTTGCGCACTGTACAGCATTCTCTAAGTACTTAGTGATAATAAAAAATTAATTTACTGCTATTCTTATACAGAGACCCCTCATAGCTGCTATATAAGAAGAGCAGCAAATACTATTTGCGCACTAATATCTGGATTAACAAAAACAAGTCGGTAGCTCCAGCAGTATTTAATGGCATCTGCAATGCTGCATGTTTTGAAATGCGGATTGAGCATTTTTTGGTAAAAGAATTTTAACATCTGGTCAGGTAGTAATTATTGATAATGCGTCACTCCATAAATCACAAAAAGTCAAAGATCTTATTAAATCTGCGGGTTGCAACATTACTTTTTGCCTTTTCTGGCTTTAAGTCTTGAAAAAAATTATACCAGTAGACGCACTCTAGCTTTCATTATATTCGCAGCTGCCAACATATAATGTTGCTCATAAGCTGTGAACATAAAACGTTGCTCATACAATCGAGATATATTATGTTTCGAGTAATTATGCAAAAAATGCAAGTTTAATTATATAAATACATGCGAACGTATCGTATGTAATCTGAGAAAATGTCAGTTATGCAAGGAGGATCTAATGGCATATTTACAATAATATAGTTATGCAAATAAAATTACATATGTATTTGTATAAAATTAATAAACTAATAGAAACTAAAACAACTTATTAGGCAGGAATAAGTACGTAAATAAGAAAAAAGGTAATCTTTTAGGTCTAAATAAATGTATTAACCTATTATTCATCAATAGGCAGTAGAAACGTGCATGCTGGGACTAAAATAATAGTGGTAAATACTTTCGGACGTTAGATAAACACATTATTGTTTTTAGTGACCCTAGTTTTAAAATACTTCCCATTGTATATCCGACCACGACGATTCGGTTGGCACGGCCCTAAAAACACCTTAAGGTCCATAAGCACTTCTGGATTAGGTTAGTAAAATGGCCTGTCCTGCTTTATAAATACCAAGAAGAGTATCAAGACCGATACGAAACCAGATATATCTTCAATAATTATGACATCTGTAGAAACAAGGTGTAAAAGACAGGGCGACCTCTACCGCTTGTTTTTAAGAAAATACAGTTATAAAGTCTCTACAGTACAGTTTCTGTACTTATGGGCAATGGTAATGGCACTCTTGGGCGAACCGTTGCCTATAGCATAAGCGGCAACTCAATAAAAGTGATACTGACCGATATAAATAACGATGGCAAGCTGGATATAGCAGTTACTAATGTTAACTCAAAAACAGTTTTTATACTTATAGGAAACGGGGATTGAATTTTTGGTCTTCCAGTAAGGAATAACAGTTACGAATTTCAATAGCGATGGCAAATTGGATATAACCAGTACTAATCACGTTTAGAATAAAATTTCTGTTTTGATTGGTAGAGGCGAAGAACTTAGTTCTCACCAAGGTGAATGCTTCAAAATGTTCTACAAGAGGAAACGACATTCATTTATAGCACCAAATATAACAAACACAAGGCATACTGAGTGATAATAAATAAGTGATTACAGCTTTACTGTTCAAAGTATACCTAAAGGGCTGTTGTGGTTGAACAAATGCACATACAATGCCACTAGGTTCCCATTTCTACAGTTAGAGTTGTCACGTTCACAATCTTTATCGACGATCTTGGAATGGAAACAACTTATCCATATCACGGCGATTTTTTTGAGTTCTACATTGTTTGAGGTGAAGCGTGTGCGATGTAAACGGCTTAATAATTCAGTGCGTATATAGACGTGCTTGCTAAACAGCGACTAAGTTGCGTTAAGAAATTACTGCACACAGAACAGCTTACAAGAAATAGGCAAGACCATATTCAAGTTATGAGACAAACAGCGCCAGCTCCTTATGTGTCATAGAATAAACCATGGTTATCAATCATCTGAACCCATACTTTGGATGGGCAGTAGAATACAAATGAGTTTCTATCGGCTCACATTTAAGTAGAAAAACATGACATGAATATGACCTATATGACTCAAGTATATAATTTGTATTACACATTTGGGATCTCCTTTTTTTCCAGTACCTCATCTACAACTAATAAATACGCAGGTAGCAACAGTTTATTGTTCAAAATCTAGTAAGATACAGGTTGTTCTGTACAATTAAACGATTTTTTGTGATTGACTCGACTACTACTTATTCTGACATCATAAAGCACAATTGTGAGCCAGTGACGATTATATTTTGCTGGTATCCGACTTGCTTTCAAAAACATGATATTGACGACGCCAACATAAATATGTAACTGTACGGACAATTTTTTGAAGACCACTACACTCATACTTGTTCTTATACATCTCCACTTTCTCTAGACATACGGCGTAATGATGCTTATTTGCAGCATGATAACAGTACTAGTACTAACATTCTCTATCAAAGGAACCAGGAAAAAATTGAAATGTGGTATTATCTGGTTAGTATGACATAATTTAATTTATTATTATACTTCAAACGCTACCTGAATCGACTATTTTTAACCACACCATTACCAAATGCTCAAATACCCAAATTGTACATATCCTTCGATCAGGAACGAGGCGGGTTGATTCTTAATTCGTTTTTCTCCTGATAGACGTTAATAGGAAGCTCAGGTAATTTACTTTGCCACAATTGGGTTTAATCCAGATTCTAAATCTGAATTAATGGACTGACTATTTACAATAGGTGCTATGCTGTGCCGTATATTAAACACAGATTGTTGACTCTACCCAGGCGTAATGCGTACGTGGTGGTATAGACTATCCCTCAAAAGCATGTATGTTTCATAACAACTAATCTGCAAAAAGTTATGCGAAAGAAGTAAATTTGTTCGACAGCGTATGCGGTACGGTGCCAGTAGGCCTGCAATTAAAATATAAGTAATACTTAAGTCTAAGTCAGGCAAACAACTTTACGGAAAGAGGTCGTCCACATAGCAGTCCGGTCACTTGGACCCCTTGCTGCTTTTTCTACCACAGTGCTACTTGATGTTTCATTTCATCAACACAACTGGACAACTTTCTTTCCGTAACTAGGATTCTCTCCGTGGCTAACATCGACAGTGCAATCAAACAGAGGTCCGCAAATTTGAATTTGTAATCTGTACATATGTCTATATGAAAAAAGCGTAAGGCGACACAATATTTTGTCGTCCACCAGCCGATATATTTCATAGGACGAATAGTATGTGTTATGTGTTTTGTAAAAAATAAGGAAGCAATGTACTCAAGTCTTTTCAATTCTGCGTAGAAAAAAATGTATATCACTTGTAGACAGAGACTTGGCCCGACCATCAAATTATTGTGGCCAATTGAATGCAACCAATGTAGGTCTAAATTGTTCAATGTGGTTAGACTTTAGATGCATAAAATAATAATAACTTCTTTCGGACAATGTCGAATCTTGTAGTGAAATGTATTGAATTTAGCAAATACTGTAATGTTAGCCATTATAGAGTTTAATAAAGAACTAAACATTCAGTTTTCGGGCGCGAGTACTGATGACACACATTTGTATTTTGCTAGGTTTCGTTCATCAGGTGACAGGCAGGTTCTTTAGCTACGTGATTGCTGTCAGCTTGATAAGCGAAGACTTACTAGTTGGTTGCTCGGCAGGGTGTTCGCCCTCCAGAACGATTTCTGGTAATCTGGCTAACAGCTCCTTTGTTGTTCTGTCGCTGAGTTTCACCTTCGAAGCATTCTTCTCATGTTTTTTTTTGCATACGACTTCCATTGCGGACAAATTAGCCAAGAACACCTTCTACTCTCAGTTACTTGCTCTTCTGGTATTCTGGTACCAACGATAGATATTAATGAACACAATCTTGTACGACTCACTACATATTATCCACAACCAGTTTGTCTACACCTCCTGAGCACATCGCACTTCATGCCCTTTTTTATCCTGCGATTTTCAACGCAACCCAAACAAAAACATTTGGTCAAAAAAGCTACACTAGATGAAGACTGAATATATGCTGCGCAAGCAGACGTCCGTTTAAGCCATATGCAAGAGGCTTTTTCAATGAGACGGTGCATGCTAATTTATTTGTTACCCTATTGCACCCGGATGTATTTAGCGCTTACCGGGATAAACAAGACTTTTAACACAAGTCTTGCGAAAATTCACTGTATCTACCAAAGTTTTCTCCACAGCACGATATTGGCTATTTCAACGAAAACTTATTTAATAGATACAGTTCCGACAATACAGAAAAAAGTCGGGGAAAGCAGCACATCCGGGCACTGAAGGCATAGGGGAGAGGGGCGTTTTCATGCGCGGAAATTCGAACTTAAGCCGTACAACTGTGCGAACTCATATTATAAGGTAAGAATCCTGCAATTAGTTATCCCATTTAACTAACTTTATTTGTGCATATTGTCGTATATAAAATGGTTGTTTACTGTCAGATAAGTTTTTTGGCATCTGTACTTACGTCGGCTGAAATAAACCTGTTAGAATAGAATAGCGAGATTTCGGTGTTTAAGGAGTTTAGGGAGTGCGCGGTTATAATGGACGGGTAAATGAATACTCAAAACTACCTTTTTGTAAAAATGCGATTCGTGTGCATATTCTACAACCACTTGCGCAGTAACGTACATTTGATATCGCTGAATAAAACAAAAACGTGCAAATAATGACTCTGAGTGCATGTACAAAATGTATAAGTCGATGCTCGACACCACCAAATTGTTAATAATCCCCATGAGTGCGCAGTGCTCGCCTGCTCAACATATGATATGTGATAGAGTGGGTTCAAATCAGGGTGTAGATATACGTCATTTCGTATTGAAAGGAGCCAGCAGGCTGAAGTAGTAAAGCACTAGACGTACAACGCAAAAAACATACTATTACATTGTTGAATTGGGGCGTCTTTATACGACCATAATGCCATATTATAGATTTCTTGTAATAATTATGTTAAACTATATCTAATCAACAATGTTTTTTGCTTAGGTTACTTAGAACGTAAAAAAGGGGGAGATTTAAAATATATTGTTAGCAATAAACCCAACCTTAAGTTTTATAACTGAAGGTTGTTGTACAGTCCTAAGTACTACTACTTTTTTTTCAATATTGATATGTCAAGTCTTTACTAAAAATAAAAATATAGGTTTCTCATTAAAGTTATTTGTAACATACATATGTATTTTTTTAGATATTGAATTACAAGCAGATATATCTTAGTATGTTAATAATTATAAAATAGTTCTTGTTGAAGCAACTTAAACATTTTTAGCCTCTACTATAGAAATGGGACGTGATTACGTAGACATAAAACATTTGTGTCGGTTAACACTCTATGCGAATGTTGAAATATTCGAATGTCGACAAAAAAGATATATCATCTTAAGTTGAAGCGATCACCTCGAAGTTTTGTCTACGAGATTAGATTTATTGAAAACACTTAACTGTTAGTCAATACTATTTAGTATGGCTTACAGCTATGACTATAAAAACAACTCAAGCTTTTTCTCGTGGACTCTTAAAACCTGCATTTAGTTGTTACAAGCACATACTCGAATTTTGAAATGGAATAACATTGGATTATGGGCCGCTAACAGACGAAATTTAGCTGATAAATGCTCCAGTTTTCTAAAAACTTGAAAACAGTTTTATCTCAATCACCTGAAACTGGCACTTCACATGTATAACCCAGATACTCAAAAGACGAAAACTAAATAAAAAATTTTATTTACGTTAATAATTCCGTGCCAATTGGAAATACGTACCGTATACGCATCATGAAATTTGCAAAACTTTAATTAACAAAACATTTGCTTGGAGCATATGATCGCTATAGATGAAACATGGTTCAGTTTGTACCGCCAGCCGGAAAAGTACCAAACGAAAGAATGACACTGCTCTGGGAAGAAATCGAGTTTGATGGTAGTGTCGGGTACGTTAGGATATAAGGTGATGGTAATACTTACAATGGGCATCAGGGATATCTGCTACTATGAGAAGCTCACCGAAACTGAAACAATGAATGCAGTTCGCTACCTTGAGTTCCTCATGAAGCTCATGGACCGTTGGAACAGCAATCGAAAGGACGCGGTCTGGTTACTTGATGACAATGCCAGACCTCGTCACTATACCTAAATTGCTGGATTGAGCAATAGAATATCCAAAGTCGGCTTTACCCTGTCTATGCTCTTGATCTAAGTCCATGTGATTACGGAGCTTTTCCTGTTCTAAAAAGGGCAACTGGTGGGCAAATATATTCGACTATCAATCAACTGATATGATAGATATGACAGATAGAGAAGTTACGTATAGAAACGCGAATAGTGGGCATAAAAATATGTAGAAGCTGCCAGAGTGCTAAGACAAGTGGGCAAAAAATAAATAGGCGTACCTTTAACACATAAAAAAATATCGTTCTAGTCCAACTGATCCAAAGTTATTAAATTTCAAGGTCGGCTGGACTCGTTTGTAACATCATATTATTTTGTAAATACTAAAAAAGTTCAAATTAAATATATGAAGTCGGTGTCTTTTACTTGGCCACGCTGCTGCAGAATAATAAAAAGATTGTAAAAAGGCTGCGTTGCTAGATTTTATTTGTATTCCGGGATGTTCAAACAAATGTCGCCTCCCCGCTATAAGTCTTGCTTATTGTATTGTACTACATCTAATGGAACGATATTGCATTAATGCAGGTATTCTACGTGGTTAATCAGAAATGGCAAACTAATGTAAATGCAAGACGTCGTTGTCATAAAGCTTGAAACTTCTACAGGACAGTTTGGCGCTAAGCGTCTGTTTGGAATAAAGAATTTTGAAAGGAAAGCTTTTTTCCTATAATATAGTCATTTTTTCTAATGGGGCAAGGTCACAATAACTTAGCTTTCTATTTCTAAAATCTAAAGATTCAATGTCGAACGTTACATAGAATTTTTTTACCTTTGCATATGTGCTGCGCCAGTCAAGATTGCAAGGTACATATGGTTTAAAAAATCAAAAAGGAGACCGTTTCAAAAATTAAATACGATATTTTATTTGTAAAACCTTGGAACTCTGGAGAAACAAGCTGACTTTTAAACGTAGAAAAGTTATACGAAATTGATAATATTGACAGTATGTTTCGTTTAGTAGGTAGCGAAGTTAGTCTCTAAGCATATATAAAAAAGTAACATAATAGTTCCTTCTGGTGTCTAGGGTAGTTGCGACATCTTTCAGAACAGAACCAACTGTATGCTAAACTTCCTAACTTTCAATCGTCTCGGAGATACGCTACCTTTTATGTCCATGATATTAAGCAAAGTCATTGCATACGCTTTAGCACAAATTTGTATTGATATGGTCGTGCGTATATAACAGCATTAGCGTACAATTTGATATAAAACAAATTTTGAACTAATCTCCGCAAATAAGTAAATAATTTGTTAAACAGCTGCACGGTACTTTTTGGCGTAAACTTATATAATTTTTTTTATTAGCTATTACGCATAATGAAAAAAAAAGCTGAAAATGCTACAAGCTTTGGCTGATTAAGCGGGCGCGTATTCATCTTGGAATTAATCAATGAAGTATTTGTATTTCTACTGCACACTCGCCCATATCAGCACCTTTCTATTTTGTCAACAAGCAACCTAACCGTACTAATACTACAATGATTGATTTATAGAAAATTAAATTTTTTTCATTCGTACATGACTTTATGAATTTTACAGCGTTTCAGCTAGTCACGAAAATGCTTCTAGGAATTATGTCACATGGCTGTCGTTTTGGAAGGACACTAGAGCTTGTCAAAACGCTCTTCACTTTTCGCAGGCTATCTAACGACAATCAAATGGCTGTGAGGGTACGGTTTGCCCCAAGCCCAACTGGAGATATGCATCTCGGAGGGCTACGCACAGCCCTGTACAATTTTCTCTTTGCACGTAAAACCGCAGGCCAGTTTATCTTGCGCATTGAAGATACCGACCAGAGCAGGTTGGTCGATGGGGCTCAAAAGAGGATTGTTGGTACGTCTATTCACATCAATCTAGTGCAATAGTCGAGCTTACTTGTTCTACTTGATTTTGAGTGTACGGTCCACGAGCAATCAGTTGTTTAGTGCCTCATGATAACAAAAGATTTTTGTAACTTACTTCAAAAAGCCCCTTAGAGAGAGTGGTATATTATATTGCGGGGCACCGCGAAGATTTTTCCGAAAGGTATCATCCAATAAGATGTTTTTGGACCCCTTATATAATTTAACCCAGTATTTACTGGGTGCAATATAGCGTTCAAAAAAGCAAGCTTAATTTTTTAAGATGTTTATGTTTAGTGCGTGACCCGAGAAATTTGAAGTGCTTGTGGATGGGCCTTTAAGAATATGCATTTACAGCAAAGCCTTTGATAAGGCTAGATAAGAATATTTTGGATTTTACAAACTAGCCATTTGGTTTATATGAAAAACAGAATTCCAAAAATACGCTCAAGAGTAAGACATTGATAAGTTTAAGGATGGTGCTTTCTGCGGCATTGCCACATAGTCTTATAAATTGCTAATAAATATGCTATCATAAAAAGGTGGAGACCGTCACTATATTTGAAAACGACATACTTCACGCTGGACAGAGGGCAAAATAATGTGTTTAGGCCTGTACATGTATGCGTAGAATAAACAGCTAAAAGCAAGATTTCTTTTGATGAGTTGTTTCAAACATTGTATCCAAATAGACAAACAAAACATCTTTGTATGTGCCTAAAGTGCCACTTTTGATAGATATGTTTCCTAACTCTAAACCTAACTTTCGTTTACTTGAGTACATCTTTAATTTGGGGCATAAACCGCACATAGGTTCGTTTCAAGTATTCGCTTAGCAGTGTTGCTAAAGTGTTTGTAATGGCACAACTAATAACGAATCAACATTGTCAAAACTCATTGAAACCACCGTCTAATCGACCTCCATATGTAACAGAAACGGTTCAAGTTTTAGCTGTACAGCAGTATTATATGCTGCTTTTAAAATATAGTTATATTCTTAGGTATTGCAATAACTGGTTAAAATGAACCGGTGGACCAACTAGGCAAAAAAAGGGATGATCTTTCTTCACAGTCATACAAGAGAGTACAGAACATGCAAATAAACTCTTTCCTGACGGCTCCGCCTTTTTAAAAAAGTACTGCGGAACGATGTTTCTTTTAGCTGGATATTACGCTAATATCCACCATTACTGGACAGACGTTTAGACTCTCCTAGAGTGAGTGCACCCTCTGGAGTATAAAAAAATTTTTGCGGTCAGTTTTTTGCATTAAAGATAAAGGTTTCCTCGTTAGAGAAAAATTGAGGACGCCGTGCTTCTTTTATAGTCTTGGCGAGGGCTCCGCGTAAAAAGTTTGGATAACAGCTTATCCTTACACAAATTGCGAAAGCGACGAATTATTTTCCATTATAGCTGCAAGCTTACCTGCATCTTGCTCAGAACGAACTTTCTTTTCGTACCGCCAACTCCAGATGAACGCGTTCATGAAGCCGTAATCTACTTGTCGGAACATAAACCAAAAACTACTTCTGAGATAAATAGCACAATTGGTCAACAAGGTATTACTCAGTTGATAAATTTAGGTATGGTACACTGATCCAGTTCGTTATGAAAAAAAAAAAGAGTGAAATTATTAGGAGTGTTCTTTCGGCCACCGCTAATTTCCCGCAAGATCGTGAAGTAGTTGCAATCCTGCTGGGTAAGTTTTGTTCTTGCCAAATTTGTTGATGTCATCGTTTGATTCTTCTAAGATAATTCCAAGTTAACCTATGTAATTTATCATTGCAACATGACTATAAGAAGGCATTTTGTCTTGGCATATATTGCCATGTAAAGCTAATATTGCAAAAGATTTGATGAGGTGATGTTTCATCCTAATGGAACGAATGAATCTAGCCTGCGAGTGTTAAAGTAAACCCGTAGTTCAAAATATAGGGCTGAGGCTAACAAAACTAATCGTTCTTAATTTAGACTCCTCGGATCCTAAACCAAAGAATAGCAGGTTGCTCAGGAAGATAGAGGTACGCTTTGTATTGCTAAGCATCAGTTTATCAGGTCCACAGCCGCCTGAGTAAAATTAAAAAATTGGCACTTCCAAAGTACACTACGTTTCAGAGACGCTGAGGTGGGCTGGTCTTCATCCTGATGAAGGTCCTGATACAATAGGGGGCCCAAAGGGACCCTATGTGCAATCACAACGGCTGCACTTTTACAAGGAATTTTCGCGGAAGCTCATTGATGTAAGTTTAGGCATAATTGTGCATCATAGTATGCTAAAATGCCGTCAGCAGCCTTTTATTATAACACAAATTACTACAACTATCTATTTATATATTTAATTTCGTTAATACTATTATTAACGAAATTAAACTTAATAACTATTAGGATAGCTAGTAGTGTAATAAAATCACTGAACGTATTTAAAACAGAAGGTCTCCTGTATCCTCATGAGCAAACTCCTAGCCTAAATAATTATTATGTTACTGGGACTTGGTATTGTTCCTCTATGCATCTTGTTATAACCATTGCAATAAAAATGATTCGGCTTGTTTGCCCCTTGCAGTTATTTCATCTTAGACTAAGTGGGCTAAGCAAGTAAATGATCTGCGAATAGTCAATACACTAACTAACCATCCTTGCCTTATATAAGCTGTACTAATTCATCTAAATCACAACTCATACGAATGTATAAATGTGATCTTTCCAGTATTCTACATTGCATTGTAGAATAGGTTACATACTTGGTTATAACTTGCCTGTGATTCTATAACTAAATTAACTGTTGTTGCTGCCTGTATTGCCGAGCGTAATAGATCAAGTCGTTCCTTACTTTGATGAAAAACTACGGAATAGATTGCGCACCTATTCCTAATTTAAGTCCATTACCACATATGATAAGAAAGCTTGCATTGTATCTGTCTCCTTCTAACTATTGTTAAACATATTTAGCATATTCGTGATCACGTCAAAATAAGAGAAAAGCCTTTGGTTCTTGAATTCGCTGGGATGATTCAATGCATTTGCCTATTAAATTCGGCAGTCAAAATCAATAACACCTTCATGTTAGAAATGAAGAAAAATATTTTCTCTTCGAGTTCAACTATTGTATACATACATTTCGTGGCGGGCTCTAAAAAATCAGTGAATCTGAGCCCATGTAATGTCTTGATCAGTCGGTAAACTGCTACCATGGATGATAGACTATCATAAATTTTAAGAGATGGTAAATCCTATTTGGCCAGATTATTAGGCAGACGTCATTTTTGGTTGTTTGTTTTTGGTGCTTACTAAATAAATATTTACCCACCGAAGCCATCTAGGTAGTCGAAAACGGATTTCAAGATACTCAAGAGACAAACAAAAAGTTGCTTTTCTGTTGAATTCGTGTTTAGTGTTCGGACACCAGTTAGATAATTTATGACACTACCGTACGACTTAAGACGGCGCTTCGGGCCAAGGGCTGCTCAACGAAAAAATACTTTACTAGTAAAAATCATTAAGGTGCCTTTAGAGCGTTTATCTCTGCTTTTAAAACTATCTTCTGTTGTAGATCTTTCGATTTTTAAAAGACATCGGTTTAGTTATTCCAGAGACAAATAGCTTAGTACTTCGTAAACCAAATTCAGCTCAATTCGATTCCTAACCAGAGTGCTGCACTACATAAGCGAGTAACATTCATTTAACCGATAGGCAACTAGCATTTCTAACTTGGTAACTCATTTGCATCTGTGACGATAATGATCCCTACAAACACCCCAGTAACCTTGTTTAAATAAAACAAATTGGCATGTTAAACGAAAACCATTAGAATGTTTGCTGAAAAACTGAAAGAAGGTGAATTCGGTTCCAGAGAAATTTACCCGAATGCTCCGGAATATATGCGAATGGTAGCTATATGTCTGTCACCTGGGAGGTCACCCCTTGACTTAGTCAGCTTTTTCAGGCTATTCCATTTTAAGATGTATTATATTGAAGACGGCGATGTCGGTGCAGGTTCATAACAATGTTTACTTTTATGAGTGAAACTTTCAATAACAACAGCGATAGTGTCTATATTGTGTTCAAAATAACTGACGTCCGCTACTTTTCCATATAAAATAGCTAAGTGTGAGAAATGTCTGTCCTGTTTTCAGAACGGTGCTGCGTACCGTTGTTTCTGTAGTGCACACCGGTTAGACCTCATTCGTAAGGACGCCCAACGTAGGAGGGCGATTCCGAAGTACGATAATAAGTGTCGCCACCTTACAGCGAAAGAAGGTGCTGAATTAATAGCTAAGGGCACACCACACGTAGTACGCTTCAAGGTCAGTTATTTGAATCGTGTTAGAGGTTATCGCTTATAGATTTAAACTCAAAAGATGCGCAGAAGGAATGCCTAAATGGTGGTTAGTAAGTTTGGGGTTACATACTTCTGCAACCACAGTTTAAGGAATGTCAATTATATTTTTGCATGCGAAAGGTGACCAAACTTAATAGTAAATTTTAACTCTATGACTCTACTTCACGTTTATTTATAAATATATCGCAAAAGTAAAATGGCTACTTGCTTATTGGGTCCGAGTTGCTTACAATAAGGAAATCTCTGAGGATGGCTTACCGACACTCAAATATTTTAATTATTTCATAATGAGCTCCCTAAAGATGGAAGATGTCTCTTAACTTACGTTAAATATATTCTTAAAAATCACAAATATTAAATCTGTGGAGTAAAATTCCGATATTATTCAAGGTCAATGATAAAAACTTCCCTTTGTAGAGCTTTGTAGACACTAGGTTCCTACTACTTTTTTTCTTTTTGGTTGAAGCATGTGATCATTAATAATAAGAAAATAAGAGTGTATAAAAGATCTTGTACTAACTAGTGTCGTTAACGTATGTAATTGTGCAGTTGAAGCCTGGCCCGCTGACGTTCCGCGACGTTGTGTTTGGCTCAGTAACTTTGGATACTTCATACGAAGGTGACTTCATTGTGCTCAAAAGTGACGGTTATCCGACATATCATTTGGCGAACGTCGTTGATGATTATTTGATGGATATTAGTCATGTTCTTCGCGGGGTCGAGTGGCAGTTGTCTACTCCAAAGCACATTCAAATGTTCGTACCTCAGCTATCACTGTAAAGTGTATTTTCTTTTTATCATATTAAGAGTTCCTAGCGTTTAAGTAGTCATAAGAATGAGGTTATGATGTGTGGACACATAAACTAAATCTGTCGGATTTCAAGAAGCTGCAGATATTTTTGTTATTCTAGTCTGACTGTACGGTATCCCAGTATTTTGCACCTACTGTTGAAATAGCGTATATTTTTGGCAAGTGCATAATACCATCCACCCAGGTATGGAGGGTGGCATATCCTCTCCTATATTAAGTGAATACGCTTGTGCTTTCGATGACGACTGAGAGTCCACATGCGCAGAATCGTCTATCAGTATTTTTTCTATTGGCTTTTCTTTCGAGAGATATAAAATCGTTATGGTTCGGCAGCAGTAGTTGAAGTTCAACAGCGCGGGTGTGTACAAACAAATCGTCGATCAGAACTAGCGTTCCCGTTTAATGTTATGTAAAAACAAGGCGATGACTAGAACTAGAGCTTCGCAGGAATGAATGGAGGCATATACAGGTGAAACGTTGACTGAAAGTAGCGCTTCCGGAGAATGCTGCACACAAGCGAGACCGACTTGAGCCAGAGCTCCCGTATAACGTTGCACACAAACAAAGACACCGATTAGGACACCAAAGACGTTGATTAGAACAAGCGCTTCCATAGAAACAATAAGGACGTTCATAAACCAGACGAGTAGAACTAGGGCTTCGTAGGACACTGCGCACTAGAACTAATATTGATAATTAATAGTATTATGCTTTTCATTTGCAGGTTGATTATGCATATAGGCAATTCTGATAAAAATGTACAAGTCGCGCGCTTTATTTTCATGAATTTAATGTGGAAACTCTTCTTCTTTCTATATAACTGCTTTATTATGGTGCCCGCATCAACAATTTCATTACCAAACATATATATATA